AACTTTGCTATTATTGCTGGGGTAAGATGCATCTCTCTAGTGTCTAATGATCATGAACATTTCCTCATGTGTTTGTTGCCTGCTAAGAAAAAAGATCCCTTTCATGTAAGATATAAGAATTTTTCTTTGGAGGGTAGTCCTTTTTATAGCTTGTGAATTAAAGATGTGAGATAGAATGGTAAACATTCAAAAACATAAATAACTAAGTAAAAGTGGAAACACAGGATTTGAGTAATATGGCAGTGGAGAATGATCAATGTGATATTTACTACATTTCACTAGTATTATTAATAATAACATTTATTGAACACATCCATCTCTTGGACATGACACAAAATAATTGCCCTGAGTAAGGAATAGGAATTAGTTTGGAGAAAAAAAGAGTCACAGAGAGGTTCAGTATTTTGCCTGAGGTCATGTGGCTAATAGATGGCTTAGCAACCCAACCAAACCCATTGCCTTCGAGTGGATTCTGACTCACAGTGACCCTAAAGGACAAAGTAGAACTGCCCCATAGGATTTCCTGGGCTACAAATCCACAGAAGCAGATTGCCTCATCTTTCTCCAGTGGAGCACCTGTGACGTTCAAATCGCTGACCCTTTGAATAGCAGTCCAATGCTTTAACCATAGCACCACCAAAGCTATTAAACAGATGGTATAATGAACAGCAAATAACAGAGACAATTGAGCTTTACATCCAGGTCATTGTTATCTTTTTCACTATGAATTGATTCTCTCCAAAAAGAATACTGGCATGGTGGCCAAAAAACTTCTGTTTAGTTCTAGCTTTGCTGCTAGTCAGCTTATGTGACTTCTGTCATATGGTTTAAACTCCCTGGGCTTTGGTTTCTTCATCTGTAAAATGATAGGATGCAACTACTAAAGTGTTAGATCCTTTATAAATCTGATATCCTATGAACTCTAGGAATTTGGAATAAGAAGAAAAATAAATTTTTGGAAAGCTACATGGGACATAGAGGTAGAGGGTCTGTAGAACTCAATTTTTGCACAGTTAACAGCTGACTTAAAATTTTTTTTTTTCGTTATTGATTTATTGTTGTTGTGCATGATGACCCCATGTCCAGCGGAACAAAGCCCTGCCTGATCTGGTGCCATATTTATTATTGTTGCTGTGTCTTGAGTTCATTGTTGTGGCTGTTGTGTCAATCAATCCGTCTCATCAAGGATTTCTCTCATTGTTCCTTATTCTCTATTTTACCAAGCATGATGTCATTTTCTAGGAATTGGCCTTTTTTAATGATATGTCCAAAGTAAGAGACGTTGTTGTTGTTATTTGCCGTCGAGTCAGCCCCGACTCATAGCGACCCCTCCTTGGATTTCTGAGGCAGTATCACTACAGAAGTAGGATTGCCCAACCTTCCTTCCGAGGAGTGGCTGGTGGGTTTGAACCGCCAGCCTTCTGGTTAGCAGTCAAGTGCCCTAGGCACTATGCTACCAGAGCTCCTAAGTAAGAGAGGAGGAGCCCCCAATTACTCAACTGGCTCAGGCCTTGGGAGGGGTGATTCTCATGATGCAACTAAAGTCAGGCAGGGAGAGGCACTTTTTACAAACCTATTATCATGATTTAATCTATAACAAGGTGAGATAGAAGCTCTGGTAGCATAGTGGCTAAAGCACTTGACTGCTAACCAGAAGGCTGGCGGTTCAAACCCACCAGCCACTCCTTGGAAGGAAGGTTGGGCAATCCTACTTCCGTAGTGATACTGCTTCGGAAACCCAAGGAGGGGTCGCTATGAGTCGGGGCCAACTCGACGGCACATAACAACAACAACAACAACAAGGTGAGATAAGAAATATTAAAAAAAATGTGTTTTATCTCATAATGCTATATAGTGCCAGGCCGTATCATCATCAATCACCAGTTCTTCATCTTTTTCTCAATTTTTCTAAAGTTTTTTTAAATAAACTCTTTAGATGTAATTGATCATATGACTGATAGTTTGTAAGTAGGCTTTTATTTTAGATGCTCTTTAATCTAGACGAGAGAGCAGCCCGATTCTCTTAAAAAAAAAATCCTGAAATTATAATTAAGCAAGTCAGGTTATACACAATATTTTGTTTCTTTGGACCTCCAGCTCCAATTACATTATAATGCTCATTTCATCACACTTTCACTATTTGTCCATATGTGGTCCTCTATTATTTATTATTTATTTGAATATTCATTTGAATATTTAACTAATGTAATATTTGTTGTTGTTGTTATGTGCAGTCGAGTGGGACTCGACTCATAACAACCCCTTCTTGGGTTTCCCAGGCGGTATCACTATGGAAGTAGATTGCCCAACCTTCCCTCTGAGGAGTGGCTGGTGGGTTTCAACCACCAGCCTTCTGGTAGCAGTCAAGTGCCTTAGGCACTATGCTAGCAGAATGTGTAATAAGTACCTGCAAAATTACCACTCAAAACAATAGCTAAATTCCTTTTCCCATCCTTTCCTCTCACTTAAATTGCTCTACCTGATATAACTATAATCTCGAAAATCAAGTTCATCATTCTCTTGCTTTTTTATATATATTATATTTCTGTGTTCCTTGCTACATATTTTTCCATTACCTGAGTAAAATTTGCTTAGTACAAAAGAATATCTTCTTATGTAATATTTGCTATTGTTCATGTAATATTATATTGTTAAAATTCATCTATTTTCTTGTTGTTGTTTTGTGGTTTATTAAATTTGAATGTTATAAATATCCCTTTGTGTGGTGTACCATAGTCTTCTTTCCTTTTTTTTAAAACCACTCCTCTTCTAATGGACATTGGGGTTGACTGCAGGTTTATGCCGTGGATGACGACAACACTGCTGCGGACCTTGTTATAGCTGTCTACTGTCTATGTGTGAATTGAAGTCTTTACAATATCGTCTTCCTATCTATGAACATAGTATATTTCTCAGTTTTTCTAGGTCTTCTTTAATGTTTCTTGATCAATTTTATTCTTTTCCCTGTACAAGTTTTGCACATCTTCTGTTAGTACTTTTTTTCGTAGATGTATGATACAATATTTACCTTGTGTTTATTTCTATCTTTTCTTCTTTGTATTTATCCCCAAATCTAAAGATTTTCATTTTACTTTTAATATTTCTGTATTTACTGTTTTTATAAGACATCAAAAATAATAATAGATTTATTGTTAATTATTTGTTCCTAAAATGAGTTAGAAGTAGGCTCCTTTCCTTTTGAGTCAATCACTTTTTAAAAATTGAAGTATTTTAGGAGAATTGAGTTAGAAAAAAGTGATTCATAGCATTTTGGTTGGATGAAAACAAAAATTTTTGCAATAACTTATTTTTCCTTTACAAATGATATTTTGAGCATTTTTATGGGAATAAAAAGGAAGCAACAACAATAATAGCTGTTTGATATCTTTTGTAAACAGACATTTTATACATGGATAAGGAAAGGGATGTCAACTTAGAGTTGGATTCCGCAAAAAATCATCTTTGCATTGTTATTAGATTTACTGAATGACATAGATATTTAGAAATTCAGTGATTATCAGTTATATAAATAATATTTTTTTCCTAACAAAATTACATTTATATGGAGGTGTTATTTTCACTTACAGGCCCACTGAAGATACCAAATATTTTTGGTAAAGTTAAAATTAAGCTTCATAGATATACAAAAAGCTGAAAGTTACCCACTTACATAATCAAGATGGAAAAGTTTGCAATTTTCTCATGATTTGGTGAATTAAAATTAGCCAAATTTTATTGATTTTATTCCTTGATTCTTCCCGGGTTTTGGATCAAAATTTCCTGTGCAATGAAGACCAGACTCTATCACAGAAATTGATTAGCCAGAGTCCAACTCTCCAGATTTCTTTTCTTGCAGAAAAGGTCATTGAGAAAAGTCACTAAAAGAAAAATTCAACTGAGACAATATAAGATAATGTGGATGCTGGGCCAAATATTTCTGATACATTGACTCATATCCTAACTGTATACAAAATAGGCTTTTTCACTAACATTTTTCCTGCTGACGGTAATTGGCAAGTCTAAATTCTAATGATTTCACAAATATACCTACAAACAAATAACGTTAGAGAGAAAGTCTTATTTATCTTTTACAATAGTATGCAGAATGCAACAGAAAAGAGAATGTAACCTGAATCATTTTAAAGAGAATATATACTCGCATGTGAGCTATCTGAAGTCCAGGTTATAATTGGCCTGTGGCAATAGCAGACAGTCTTTTAACTGAGTATAAATTTAGCTACCTTTTCAGTTTTCAGTTAGCTTGTGTTTTCTCCTTTTCTGGAGAGAGAGTTAATGTTATATCAGTTCAACTGGAAAGAATTTTGAGTAAAATGGAACACCAAAAAATTAATAATTGAAACATTAGAAAGCAATTTCCACAACCACAAAGGGACTGTCAGTTTATAAAACTTTATCATTTAAACCAAGAGAAACTTGTTCACACTTGCAAAGATAAAATTAATGAATGATGGAATAATCTACTTTTACATTTATTTTTACTTTACTATGTAAGTTTTGGGAGCTCTGCTGGCGTAGTGCCTAAGGCATTTGACAGCTAACACATAGCATAGTGGCTAAGACACTTGCCTGCTAACCAGACGGCTGGTGGTTCAAACCCACCAGGCACTCTTCGGAAGGAAGGTTGGGCAATCTACTTCCGTAGTGATACCGCCTCGGAAACCCAAGGAGGGTTCGCTATGAGTCGGATCCGACTCCATGGCAGTGCGTTGCATATATAAATTTTAATATAAATAACATAATCTCATTTACATATATGGCATTTTTGAATTATATTTCAGTTTTTCCACTAGCAGTATTTACTATGACATCATTCCAGAAGATTAATTTTATTTGAAAAATACAAAGTGAGATTTTTAAATATCCAAGGTTATATAATACATATTTATCTTGTTATTGGCTTGAATTTCTCACTGTATAAAAATATTTAAAAATGTCATCTGAGAAAAAAAAATTATAACATTTTGTTTAAATTTTAACAGTAAAGAAGAACTACCAATGTCATCAAAAGGGGATGAGTTTGAGGATTCCAAGTTTACAGGTAATAGTTATTTAATTTTTAAATATCTCTCTTTTGTTAAAACTTACAATTAAAAAATCTCATTACATTTAATTATCTAAACTTTTCAGATAACTATATCCCAACAATTGTTTGTTCTTCTGAGGACCAGGAAGACTTGAAAACCAGTGATCAAAATGAAAAAGATATTAACAGGGAATATGATGAACATAATGAAAAAGAATTAGAGTTGATGGTAAGTGTTCTGGTTGCCATGGTATTGTTGTGTTGTTGTTGTTATGTGCAACCCAAGGAGGGGTCACTATGAGTGGGAGCCGACTCAATGACACACAACAACAACAACAGTAGCACAGTATTAGAGAAGATAAATCCATTTATGCTTCAAAGATACTGCAATACCTGCCTTTCAATAACTTCAACTAATATAATTTGCAAGTGTGAAAGAACAAGCTAATCTGTGCTTGCATCTCCAGCTTGATCAACGAAGTACTTTGATTTCAGTATGTTGCTTCCAGTCTCTGCAGTAGTAAATTAATGGCATTCATTCCTTATCTCTTAACCAGAGGCCCTGAGTAATAGTTTATAGGAATTACAGGAGAGGTAGCATTATCCTGATGTGCATTCTAATCTTTGTGACAAATGTACACTTAGCATAAACTCTTCATCTATGAAATGAGAGGACTGGACTAGATGATTGCTATCATCCAATCCTATAAGTCTGTGGTTCTTGCATTAGCAGCATTTATTTTAACCTCCATCTTTCTGAGATCTTCAAAGTTCCGTATCATTGTAGAGCATTCAATTACCTAGTGAGAAGAAATTAGCCTATGCCATTATTTTTAAACAGGACACAAATTCTGTACTGTACAATTTAGTATTAAATTTGTTACCTAAATTTCACACTTGGTGAACATTCAATCTGTCTGGAATTTTGGGGGTGCTTTAGATAGCATTTTTTACCACAAAGGAAGAGATAGCAGTAAATTAGCCACATAATGCAATTATCCTTTACTGTATTTGGCTAGCACTCCTATCATTGGGATACATGATTCATAATCATCTAAGATTAAAATGACGTTTGCCACCTCAAGTGTCAGAGCTGAAACAGAAGAGATAGACCTCATCTCCTCCCCCACTCATTCTCCATAGTGATATGGAAGCTGCATCACTAAAGTATGCAATTTACTTTGCTCCAACTTTAAGAAACTACAAAGTTGTCACCCATTGTGAGAATTCTCACCAGCTGAAAGTTAACATTGCCATTTTTTTCCCCAAAACCACAGAATGTAATGAAAGAGCCCTGGAAAATCACATACTTCACCAATACACCTCATTACAATGAGCAGGCTCAAATATAAAAGTTTGTTTAGAAGTTACTGAGATTGTACGTCTAATAAATGAACAGGGAGCTATAATTTAGATGCTAATTTGCTCCATGCTGACGTTAATGCATAAAACAATGAAGTTTTATAATAGATGGAAATACAACCAAATCTGTGAAACCCACAGGCATTGGCTTACAAGACAGCTGTGCAGTTGACAAGTAACATGAGCCTTATGTGAGAAGAAGGGGAAAACGTAAGATTTGCATATAATTATTGAGATCATGCAAATGTCAGTTATGAGGAGGAAAAAAAAAAAAAACACACAGGCATCTCACTGTTAAATCCTGACAGTTGGCATCACTGAAGAGCTCAAATACATTTGAGTACCAGTTGGCAGAGGGTCATTAAAACAGAATTTGCAGAGACATTAACTCCCTCACTTTTCTTTGAGTGACGTTTTGCTATTAATAGTTTGCAGAGGCTTTGCAGAAAACATATTAATAAGAGAAACTGTAATGGGGCAGCTACAGCAAGTGTAAATGCAGCAAGGGGCACCCAGGAAGCTGCTCTCTAATTGATTAGCGTGGAGCTATCAATGTGTATATTCTAAGTGAGGAGAAAGTGCAATGACAAGCAAGAATAGTTGAATAATAAAATGTGATATTTGGAAGCTGGGAAGGAGAATGATTAATTTGGACTCCTTTTCTTATTAATCTCATTCCCAAGTCATACCCCACAAGGATCTCCCCCAAAACATCTGGCTTACAGAGTTTGTATGAAATCTACAATTAAAATGAGTCAAGGAAATCTACCAGATAATTACTAGCTGAGTTAATAAAACCTATATAGTTTATTTTGTACATTTGAAATGATCATTTGGTCATTTTTTTTTTCATCCTTTAAGATAAATGAACGCTTAATACGAAGTAGAAGCACTCCTTCCAGAGATGAAAAGAATCCATCTTCAACAGATCCAGTCAAATTTCCCAATAAAGTTGAGGAGTTAGAGAAGAAGGAAATCCATGGTGAAATATACACTGACTTGTTCAAAAGGTCTTTGTCTTCAAGTTCATCAGCAGAAAGCTCCTTAAAGGGAGATTTTTACCACCATGAAAAATATTCCTCAGAAAATGAGTGTTGTTATCAACCTTCAGAAAAAATTACTTCAGGTGTGGGAGAAATCAAGCCATCATTGGGAGATGCTAGTAGTGATGAATTAGTGCAATTACATGTTGGGAGCAAAGAAGAACTGGATGATGATGCTAATCCAGCCCATGGAAGGGAAAGAGTGCAGGTATCTTGTCCCTTCTCAGATCAACTAATGGTAGGCAGCCTCAAGGAGAAACATCAAGAAGAATCTAAGAAAACTGAAGTAAAAGATTGGGAATGTTTAAGAAGAGATTTCCTTTCAGATGCATCTACACATCTGGAAGAATCAAGTGGAAAAGGATCTTCCAAGAAAGATCATGGCAGTGGTGAGGACGGGAAAGAACAAAGAGTACATTTAACGCTTCATGAAAAAGGAAACAACACTTTTCAGCCAATCTTTCATGACCAAGAAAGGAAGATAGGCCACCCAGAAATAAGTGTGGGAGTGATAGGAGCTAGCAGCAGAGACCTAACTGCTCCCTCGAGCCAGGAGCCCACAATCCCCAGCCAGGCAGTAACAGCAGATACCACTCATTCACCAAGGACATATTTAAGTTGGGAAGAAGTTGTGTTAACAGCCCCAGAGTGTGATTTCACAACCAGCAAAGACACCACTTTAAGGACACCTGGGAAGGTTTGTTCAGCAAGAAATGGAAGTGCTTTGAGGAATGATTATCCTTTTCAAGTTCAGGAAGAAAAACCCGATTGGATTAATACTGAAGATCAGAATAAGAATACACAGCATAAATGCAATTGGAATGTTCTGGAAAGTCAGAGAAAAGTAAGAGGTAGTAAGACAAATATAACAGGGCAGAACAAAGGACCAGGAGATTGTGAAGACATGTGGGAAAAAAGAGATAACATGAGGAGTTTGAAAGGTACGCCTACAGAAAAATTGTTTACCTGCCAAGAAACAGGGAGCTGTGAACTGTCTTCTCTAGCTGATCATGGTATTCCTGAGAAAGCAGAAGCAGGTACAGGTTATATAATTAAGACAACATCAGAAAGTACTCTAGAAAGCATGTCTGCTAGAGAAAAAGCAATAATTGCTAAGCTACCTCAAGAGACAGCACGAAGTGACAGGCCCATCGAGGAAAAGGAAACAGCGTTTGATCCACATGAAGGGAGGAATGATGATTCACATTATACCCTTTGTCAACGGGATACAGTACGTGTAATCTATGACAATGATTTTGAAAAGGAATCACATTTAGGTATTTGTAATGTACATGTAGATGAAACGGAGAAGGAAGATACCATGTCTATGTACAGTCCTGGGAAAACACATGACAGGGAGAAAAGTAGCACTGAAATTATAACATCTGTAGGAGAATCCTCACAGGTCATTACAGGGAATGGTAAAACAGCTTCAAAATTGGATTTACATTTGGAAGTGTTGCCATCAGCTGAAAAATTACTTCCAGAAAATACAGATCATGGGCAAGTCCAAGCATTATCAATGAAAACAGACTTAGACGTCCTTGTTCCTTCTGCGTTTAACATTAACACAGCTTCTCCGAATGGTTTGCAGGTGTCCAATCACTGTACCAAAACTTCAGTGTCATCTTATGAACAGGCAACTGCTGTAGAGGATGAAATTACTGCCGTGCCTATCCAATCTATTTCTACAAAATCAAAATATAATTGTAATTCAACAAGCGAAATCCAGGGTATTGAGAAGCACCCTCAGCCTGGGTCTACACCTGAAGAAGTTTCTAAAAGCTCAGAAGGAGTGACATCGAGTAGTAGAAGAGAAAGATGTGTAGGTCAGATTTTGCAACAAGGGGAAGGAAGTGAAAAAAAATCTCTAGGGTCAATGACATTAATCAGTGAAACTTTTGAGAACAACAAGGAAGAGAAAGGGCATGAAAATGAAGGATTACTAAATTTTGGACAATCTTGCTCTTCAGGTGACAAGGCATGTGAAAACTCTGCCTCCTCTAGTCTCTTGGCCCAAGAAAGTCAAACTCAAAGCAGTGAATCTCTGCTTTCAAAATACATCAACTCTAAAATACCGTATTTCCTTTTGTTCCTGATTTTTCTTGTAACCATTTACCACTATGACTTCATGATTGGCTTGGCGTTCTACCTTTTTTCATTGTACTGGCTATCCTGGAAAGGGGGGAGACAAGAGGAGTCCGTCAAAAAGAAGTAACCTCAGCAATATTACCATTCTCTCTTAAAACATAAGCTACTTAGTCCTAAACATGTGGATTGGTGAAAGAGACTATTCATTGTTCAAAGAGCCAGTGCAGTTTTTCTCTTGAAGGATCATTTAAAAAGGAATGCGTATGAAGTTTGCTCCTTCATATAAGTAATTATTCTATATAGGACCATTATGTTTGGATCATTAAATACCTATATGAATATGAGATCTGAAGCACGTCAAGTTGAAATTAGGTACAGCTGTTGCTCCTTAGCAGGCTATGAAGCTGCAATGCTTCACATCTCTTTAGACTTAAAGTGCCATTTCTTGCATTCATTTCTTCTGCAGTAAAGCTTCATTTTTTTTTTCCCCTGCGAGTATTTTGCCCCCTGTGGTTTTTAAAAATAGATGAAACATAGACAATGGCAAAAAGACCTTTTTGGTCTTTTAGCGTTGACCATGGAATTTGCAATTACTGATAGATCAGATCTTTCACCCTGCATTTTGTACTTTTTAACAACACCCTGTATATTGAAAAGTGTAAAATTAAACAGAACAAACACTTTACGTTTGCAGGGAAGATACTTTATACACACACACCTTATAATTCCTTCTACCTTCAAAGGTCAGGGCATCCATGAGCCAAATCTGACAAAGACTCAGATATTTCAGATATTATCTTTCCCTTTAACATGATTTTGTGAGTAGCCTGTCTTTAAGGAATATTTTTCTCTTGTAAAGGGAGATTGTGTAACACAGATGAACAATTTCAATGTCAACTGTTATTCAGAGTTGAAAATTTCAATCAAAAGCTCCACAGCATTGCTTAAGAATGAATTTGTACCTATAAAGCATAAAGTATCAAATGATAATAATAATAATGACAATCATAATAAAAGATTTCCAAATGAACTATTTGTTCTACCTGGAAGTATTTTTGTCTTCAAACAAATTTTTAACCTTTTTTCAGTATAAGACAGTAAATTATCTCCCAAGGTGCATTTGGAAAACAAGCAACTAGTCATTGGTGGTGTTTGTTACATGATTATCATGTTGTTGGGTGATAATTCAAAACTTTAAGTAGGCATATAGGTAGGTGCAGGGAATCCGAGGGAGAAATAAATAACTAGTATGGCAGAAATTTTTGCCATTATTATTAACCTTGGCTAAACACGTGAAAAAATAACACTAATCATTTTAGTCAAGTAGAGATAATACAAGGGTTCATACTCAGTTGAATTCAACAACCATTTATTGAGTGACTACTACATGCAAAACCCTGTGCTGTGTTCTATGGCCAGGCCCTTTCATTGATATTCTGCATTAAAGCTAGTTCTTAGGGAGAAGGCATAGGTTTGTAGTGTGATACTTTTGAATTAACTGAGAATATGGAAGAAAGTCACACACAGTTTACTTTGACAATTTCTTTGTCGTAGGACCTTTTTAGATAAAGCATGTAATATTTCTATTCAGAGAGAAAAAGTCACTTATCTTCTACCCAATTAAGGTGAATTCACTGAGCAAATCCTGCCTGTATACATCCTTTCACATATCTAAGAAATAGGCATTTATGAGAAGACACAATGACAATGAAACATTTAAACTGACTTTCACCGGGTAAAACATAATGTTCAAATTTTTTTCTTTTAGGTAAACAATTATTTCCAAATCCCTGGATTGCACACTTCTCTCAAGTCCTGTTCAAATTGAGTGCTCGACTTAAAACTGTTCAGTTGATCAAATACAAACATCCTGAAGTAGAACTTAGGGCAAATATTTGATTACTTGAGAAAGCATATTTTCATTATATCCAAGTCGAATACTGTAGGTAGTTCCTAGACTATTATCTCTAAAATTGTCGTCCTGATAATTTTGTTGACACGTAAATTACAATGGAGTTAAGCTTAGCGTTTCTCCAGTTCTTAATGACATGGCTTTTGCATTCTGCCTTTAAGGGCTTTAGTCAACATGCCATAATTTATTAATGTGAAGAATAATACTACATTACTTTATGAACACAGGTGCCTGCATGTAATTATCCCCTTTGAAGAACCATGGAATTTCTTTTACCTCTTTTGTTGGACTTTTGGTAACTTTAACCTACTAAACCCTCTCATACATATTTGCCATATGACAAAAGCTATTTCAAATTCTCTATTGTATATTTCTCTGTAGGTAATGTAGAAATAATTGGTGATTTAATGACTTTCCAAACATAACTTAAGAAGAGCTTGATATAAAATCATAAGTACTTGTGAAATTATCGCTAGGTGTAGAGGTAGATTTTTACAACCTGTTTTGGCTACATCATTATGATCAAATGATTTTAGGAAGAATTGGCTGTGAATCATCAAGGCCAGAGTAATCTTTTTAAGCAAAGCTGCTCTCACCATGTTTCTCCAAGTATTGTTTAAGTGCCCCCCAAAAAAAGATGTAGCAAGAATGAAAGCAAAGAGACTTGCATTGCACTTTGGATTCCTATAAAAAAAAAGCAAACTCATTGTCATCAAGTCAATTCTGACTCAGCGACCCCATTTGCGTTTCCAAGGTGGTAAATCTCTACAGAAGTAGATTATGCAGTCTTCCTTCCACTGAGTGGCTGGTGGGTTTGAGCCACCAGCCTTCAGGTCAGCAGTCAAATGCCTTAGGCACTACGCCACCAGAACTCCTTATAATGGGAAAGAAATGTAATAAGTAACCACTACCTTTTCTCTTCCTGGGACTTCTGATTATTAGAAACAGCATTTTAAAAATATATTGGTAAGTTAAATAAAAATAATTACTTTTTAAAAACTCACCCTTGTAGGAACTACTTCAATAGGAGATTTCTCAGAGTAAGAGGAAATGAGCCGGTGAGACGACACCACCCCTTAGTCTTACAGAGCATTGGGGAAATGCAGTATGTTTGTTTCCCTGTGAGTGATAATATTTTGATACTCTCCTGGTTAAGTGGAAAATATAAAAATATCCAGACCAGTGTTGGCCAATAAATGACAAATATATTTTAGTTTTCCCAAATAGTATTCATGGACCTTTCTTTCTTTCTTTCTTTTTTTTTTTATTGTAGTTTGGGTGCAAATTTACAAAGCAGATAGATGCAAATTTGGTTTCAGCACACTGATTACAATCCCAACAATAAACACCTCTCCTCCCATCTCCTCCCTGTGGCTACCCCTCCCCCGTGTCCTTATGTATGCATTCATGTCTATCCAATTCTCCCTCTATGCAATTGCTGCCCTCTGATCTCATGGTTGATTGATCTAAGGGTGTGTCTCCCTAGGGTAGGTGGCGGCATCTCCCTGGGGTAGGTGTTCTGCTTGTGGGCTTTTCTACTATTTGGCTGAGAGCTAGTCCACAGAAGTGAGTCCAGTTCTAGGCCTGAAGGATAAGCTGGGGCCATAGTCTCAGGGGTTCCACCAGTCTATTGGATCAGTAATTCTGGTCATTTTTGTGTTTTTGAATTTTTTTCCATATTTTTCCTCTCGTTCCATCCAGAATCTCCAATTCTGATTCATTTCCAAGGGATTGGCATTGGTAGCTGGGTAGGACTTAGTTCTTCTGGTCTCAGGGTCATGACGGCTGAGGTCCCGATAGTCCACCGTATCCTTGACTAACTGTTTCCATATTGACTTTGATTTTCTTCACTGTGCATCCATGGCTCTTTCTTAAAGATTGTTTTCATTCATGAATATTGTTTCCCATCCTCAGGCCTGTTGTCTTCTTTTGTAGGCTTACATTTTGCATGTTTTTCATTCAAACAAAACAAAACATAGGAAAAGTAGCATGAGAACTAGTAAAGACACACGACAGAGCTGGCACTTCAGTGCTAGTTCATCTAGTGATTTCTATAACCAGGATCTCTGATTTCACTGAGTGAATATAGAAATCGAACCTTGTAATAAGGATCTCTTATTGTTTGAATCCTGTCTTAGCTAGCTCCTGTGGAACTGAGGAACGGGATTGATTTTGATTCTGCAACAAGGTATGAACAAAATATGACACATGTTTCTTCAGCTTTGCCGCTGTATACCTATATGAAGACAACTACTAAAAAAGGTTACTTTTACTTTTTTGACTAAATTCATTTGTTGTTTTTTTTCTATTTTCAGAAATAATTCATAATAAAAATAATGGCAGCCTAAGTTGCTATTTTGTCTGTTAAAAATATATTTGACCACTAATCTAGTTATTTCTATCACTTTCCCCAAACCTCTTTAAACAGGAAATTTAATTTTCACTGGACTTTGAACCCAGCTTTGAGTGCTTAACATGTTGTACAAGAAATGCCATTATTGTGATGTGTCAAAATCTTATGAAAAGACTACTGTATAAAAACATCCACCTATTTTATTTTTGCATCATATATATGTATGCATTTGTTAAATGCAAAAATATTCCCTTTGTTTTTCAAAGTTTAAAACAATACATTATGTCAAAATTTAAGAAAAAAAAATCCCCAAGTCTTTTCTTTCTATATTCAATTCTTTATACTCATGATAATAAAGAGGGCCACAGATAAAAGAATAATGGACATAGTTTTTATTTGGCAATGACCTCTCAAGATCTGATTTTGGCAGCAGAGCTTAATGTCTAATTAAGTTATTTGGTCTTGGATGAAATTGGTGCCTCTTACAACTTAATTCCACTCGCATTTTCCAGCTTTATTTTCCACCGTTCCCTGCCTCAAACCTTCTGTCAGTGAACATATCACATTGTTCACAGAACATGCCATGTTTCTCTGTTCCTCTATAACTTCTCATGTATTTCCCATTGACTAGAGGACACTTTCTGTTGTCTCTCCTCCTCTCCACCCTGTTCAAATTCTGCAAGCTCTTCTATGTACAGCTGAAGTTCCCTACTTCTTGCAGCCTCCTACTATGTCAGCAGGTGGGATCCCTCTGCATTCAGATGTCTTCTAATACTTAACCTTTCTTGCATACACTGGGCATTTGAGTCATCATTCTAACTGGAACTTTGACTCATTCAGGACAGAAAGAGTGGTTTCTACT